CAGTGCGGGGCAACTGCTAGATGTACTGCCACTACTACTACCGCTACTGCGACTGCTACCTGCTACTGATACAATACTGCTGGTAGTACTACTACTACTACTACTACTACTACTACTACTACTACTACTACTTAGAGATGTCTGCACCTGTGCGTTTACTCTTCGCACCTGCATCATTGCCACCTGATGTATGAACCTAAGTCCTTCTCTGTTTCCAACTGCAGTGACTGTTGACAGCCCTGGAAATTCTTACCTTCCCACCTGATGTTCGATACCGTTGGCAGGGGTCGCATCTCCGTGATGTCGGGCCTGCAACTCCAGGAGAAACACTCTCGAAGCCAGCATGGCAAGGGGATGCCGTCTTTGTCTGCAGCCAAGAGATGTCAGCAAGAGCAGGAGGAGCAACTGCGGTTCATGATTGCATGACACGTGTGGCGCCTCGATCAGCAAAAGCGGGGTCTGCATGTTGTTCACGACAATGATCTCTGTAGTGAACGGGCTGACATCCCTGACCTGAATGCAAGGCATGCGGAGCCATGAATGAGTGCTTGTGTTGCCAACTTGAAACTGCTGTCTGCCCTATCTTGCAGCTGAGAAACTGTCTCACAGTGCAGGTGCGAGCCGGACAAGCCCATGGCTGATTGAAGATCGGCAGAGGGCACGAACCAAAAGCAAATGCGTTTGCTAGCAGCGCTGGAGCTGCACTTTGAACTGCACGCGGCTATGGGATGCAAGTGTTCAACCGCTGCAGTCACAGGCTAGTCACAGGATGTCACGGGGCCACACGAAGCCCCACCTGCCTCCAACGCAGTAATTGCAAATGGGATTGCAAGCGCGAGCCAAGAGAGTTGAGGGGAATCAGCGGCACATCAGAAGGTTAAGATAAAAGAAAAGCCTCCGAGCCTCAGAAAGATGAGATCACCAAGCCCTGCAGTGCTTGGCCCGAGGCTCCAGGGGGCCCCAGCATGAGGATGGACTTGGAATCTGCCAGGATGTCCTTCGTGTACGCATGGGGTGGGCGATCGGTTGCTGGTTTGGTGCGTCGTGCGAGCAGCGGTAGTAGCTGTGGTAGCACTAGCAGCGGTAATCGGCAGCAAGAGAAGCCTGTGCGATGTGATCAGGCGCTGCAATGCAACCTGGAAGCCTTGGCATCAAAAGTCCGAATCCACAGTAAGAAGAGGGTGGAAAAGAAAACATGGAAACCTCCCCAAACTGGTCAACCTAGCAATGTTCATCACTGGCATCACTTATTATCTATCTAAATTTACATACTTATTATATATCAGAAACAAGGTGGTGTCCCTCCCTTTATGCGAGATGAATTAAGCAACCGCTTGTACAAAAGGTCATTGTGCCAGTGTAGACCCCAACTAGTGAAGAAGTCCAATCCCTGCAGGCGTCTTGCGCCCCTCAGCAACGGAAGCTAGTGTTAAAGTTTTGTAGAACCCATGGAAAGCCATTCAAGTGGAGTCAGTCCTCCAAAAGCCCAGCGAGATTGGAAGAGGCCCTACCTCGGCCCAAGGGCTGGAATTTCGGCTGGTCGGATCTTCTTTTTGGTTCCTGCCTCGTTGACGAGGTCCACTAGGCAGGGTGGCAGTGTCATGTGTGAGTTGATGGTGCAGGGTTTCAGTTTCAGACATTCGAGGCAAAATCCTTCTCCACGCAACAAGCTACAGTAGCGGCGTCGATGCATCTGGAATCCGGACGTGCTGTCAATGCCTGCTCAATTCTGTTATCCCGACGAAATTAACGATCACCGAGAGCACCGGCGAAAGATGCTGACTCAAAGTGTGGAGCTGCGTGGCAGAACAAGAGCTGCGCCGACCGGGCAAGCAGCTGCCGCAGATTCAGTGCCGAGGGGGGCATTCATACATCCCGGGAAAGGAAGCCCTACTGTATGTGTCCACAAATGGCTTCGAACTGCTCTAACCCTAAACTCACGTCTGCCCACAAAAAAGGGGAACGTTCATGAGATCGACCCTTGCGGCCTGGACCAACTCGGCTCACACCCAACTCCCGGTACAATTCTGAGACCCTACCAGCTCGCGGCATGAAGCCGCCTAGGGCTGCAACCGACTCGCATAATCAGCGTCACCTTCAGTCATTGAGATTCATTGAGGCTCTCTCTCGGACAGTATCGATGCAGATCTACAGGTTCGCTTGAATCAAGCCAGTGGCCCGCAACAAAACCGGTTGTAAGTGGCGAACCTTTGCACAAGAGAATGTGAGCTAAATATGTGCACTTGAGTTCTGCCCCTTGTCTTTGCTCCATCTCACAACTTCAGGCCCGGAGGCAGGGGCAGGCTTAGGTAGAACGAACTACCATCGATTTAGAATAATATAGCTCCAGAATATCGGTACACATGCGCATGCATGCATACATACATGATATGCATTCAAGTGCGATGTATTTGTTCCCAACCTCCGTTTCCCGGCCATAAGAACCAGAGAAAAGGACGGCCGAGCCAGGCACGACCTGACCAGACTGGTTGCGAGCAGCAGAGATGCGATGCCTCAGACAAGTGACGGCTCCGACGGTCTTATGCATCACTCCAGCAAAGAGGCTGGGGCACGAGATTTGAAGGGGCCAGCAATGCATCGAAGGTATCCGGACACGAATATTACAGGAGCTGGTGTCTTCACGACTTCATGAGCCTTCTTTCGTAGTTGGGCCATCACAAAGCGACTCATCCACAGAACGAAGACTGCTGGCCTCAACTTCCAGCACTCAAAAATTTGCATTGTATATTCTCAACTTGTTGAGTGGCGCTTGGCAGCTTCATAGCAGGAAGAAGTTTAATTTTTGGTGCGATGCTGATAGAACCTGACAGGCCTGGAAGGTGGCCAGCTCAGTGCGCACTGGCGTGCAGGTTGGAGAGGTTGTGAAAACTCTCAAATTTGCAAATTCAATTGTACCGCAATTTCCAGGTAGCTGCTTTACTGAGCCATGCTTTAATATGCCGTATATTCACAGAAGCATGCCAGGATCTAGCATTCAGAACAATATAATATAGCATTGAGAAGTATATACTACTTTACTCTAAGCCATCGAGGCCACATCTACCGGGTCTACCCGCCCAAATCATACGATGCCTAACCGGAGACTCGTCTAACCTTTACACTCGAAGCATGCCTGGATCCGCTTTGTCGGGCGGGGGGGGGGGGTGAAGTCCCAGGGCATGACCCCTAAAACTCAAAGAGTCTTTGCGTCCTGACCATCCACCTGAAACCGAGGGGGTCCTGGAAGTTACCCATGGGCCCCATAGTAGTTCTTTTTGGGGTTCATATTTAGAATCCTTGAAGGTAATCCCAAAAAGGAACTACTTTGGGTCCTATGGGTAGTGGCACCGGTACCTTTTGCAGGGGCTCTGCTGCCTTCTCAATCTTTGAGGCTCCGGCAGGGTCCCGTCAATGCCCGCCCGGTCCTGCATGCTTCGCAGGCCCAATTCGCGTTTCGATGATATAGGAAGCTAAAGAACTTGATGATGGTGATGAGGACGATGATGATGATTTTGAGGTTTGGTCGAGAGAGAAGCAGCCAGATTTATAGATCGATCTGCGGGTTTGTGGATTTAGACAGATGGTGCATACATGTGTATCGTTCGCGATCTGTACAGACCTGTAAAAACATATGCATCTACATCTATCGTTTGTGTATACACTTTAAAGGTATGCATTACTGTGTGTACATATGCACGCAAGAATGCACAAAAACTGCCAAAGTCATGACTTCATGAAACATAGACAAATAAACACAAAACATTAAACGTGTAGAGAAATATGTATATGTACCTGTTGTGTGTATAAATATATATGTATGCACATATATATATATATATACACACGTTGAAACGCGTATGTATGTGTGCATGTATGTATGGATGGATGTATGCATGGACGTCCGGATGTATGTATATGTGTATGCATGTATGCATGTATGCATGCATGCATGCATGCATGTATATATTGTGTGTGTGTATATATATATATATATTGCACATATGGCTAGTACGCCAGTTTTTAGGCGGTGGCGGCCCTGCCCAAGTCGGTTAAGTCGAGGGCTCCCAGATTTTCTCCGGCAGCCTGAATCGTGAACTTCTTCTGCCCGATGCGCCTCAGGTACGATATGTTGCTGCCACATCCGCGAGCCCAAGGAGCACAGCCGGCCGACCGACTTGAGCCTGATTTGGGTCTGGTTAGGTACACACAGGTATGTCCCAGAGGCTCATATACTGCTGCAGAAAAAACAAGTCGAGCGCTGATTTGACGAGATATGGGAGTTGACGGTGATGTGGCCATGCCCACTGAGGAACGAGGATGAACCCCAATAAATTAGTATTTTGCACGGATCTTTCCGTGCAGCTCTCGTCCAGAGGCCACTCCACCGAGGGTCTGAACCGTGTGTTAAGCTAGTTTGGAACGATGCAATGTTTTTTTTCAAGCTTGGTGTACCTCAACAGGATCCTGCGACTCAGCGTTTTTTGTTGGGGGGTCCTTTTCATCGTTTGGTAATAGTCTGCAACTCCCAGATCAAGGCCCAGGCTGCACCACAAGCTGGACATTCTCTTTCGTAGCTGGCTCGCCTCGGCCGTGCTCTCAACAGAGCGGTGGCTTCGAACCTCCCAGTTATTTCTTATGACTTCCTTATAGTAGCCCCTCAGAATAAACCTTATAGTAACCCTCAGAGGAACCCGGATATAACCCTTGAAGTATCCCCGTAAATACCCCTAGAAGCCCCTCGATCCTGGACCCTCAGCTCAGGGCCGAGGAAGTCGCTGCGCATCAGGCGCTCCCCCATTGGCTTCCACCGGAACTCCAGGGGGCGGCCCACCTCAACTCCGGAATACTGTAGGGCCTGTGTAGGGGCGCAAAAAATGTTCTGAGGGTCTTGTGATAGGGGTCTGAATGGGCTTTAAAGGTATACTAGAGCAGAAGATGCTGCTGCTGAATACTCCGACCCTTCAATATCTTCACTTGGAGCCTCTGGTACTCCGAGTTCGTGCAAAGCTGTCCGAAGGCCCGGGCACTGATAACGATCTCCATCGGGTTGCTGCCGACCCTCAGCACCGAACCACGAACGGATCTGATCTTCAGTTTACATGTAGGGATTACCAAGACCCCATATTATTGGGGAACATGGGGTATATTCTGATATGGCAGAGTAGCGTAGAGAGCGTAGTATATACTATTCATGTACGGGCTGTAATATAAGGGGACATGTCTAATCCCTTCCTTCATTTACTAAACACCCCTAATAATAAACACACTTTGAAAAATTCTCCCTGCCCTTAAAAAAACTTGCATCCGTGGGGTCCGGAGCAAGAGCAGGAGCAAGACCAAAAGCAAGACCAAGAGCAGGAGTAAGAGCAAGAGCAAAAGCAAGAGCAGGAGTAACAGCAAGAGCAGGGGCAAGAGCAAAATCAGGAGCAACAGCAAAAGCAAGATCAGGAGTAAGAGCAAAAGCAAGAGCAGGAGCAAGAGCAAAAGCAAGAAGAGCACTACGAGTAAGAGCAAGAGTCAGAGCAAAAGCAAAAGCAAGATCAGGAGTAAGAGCAGGAGCAAAATCAAGAGCAAGAGCAAATCCCTCAAAAGTGGCGGTAGAGATAAAACAAAATATCCCCACCCGATAATGAAAGCGCTTTACGAAGTTTTATTTCGGGGGGTGCCCCACCCCCACGGTCTAACTTTAGGGGAAAGGATTGTACCATCCCTGAATGTTCAGGCATCTAGGCTGGGTCCGAGTTGCACTCACACCTTGAATGCAAACACCTTTTCCTCTGATTCAGACAGATATCCCAAATCCAAAGATATGCACATATAGTAGGCCGAGCCATTAGCTTTCGAGCCTTGGGCCACAAAAAGCTGGAAGAGGCAATCTTTGCAACCGCGAGCTTGTAGGGGCCCGGCTCTCGAATGTGGCTCTGAACCACCTATGCGTCATTGCCACAACATCAGTACACAAGGGTTCATAAGAGCCCTCGCGTGGGTTCTGCCAGGTCCTTCGCATAACCTGACTTCCAACCCCACCACCTTACAACGTTGCTGCAAAAAGGCAACATCTGCGCAATGGAGAACCCAAAGCCCCCAAACCAAACCAATAACTCCTAACCCCTTGGCAGAGGACACGGCGGGCAAAAGCGACAGCTCAAGGTTCTCTCGGGCGACGTTTGCAATTTCCATAACATGCTCTCGGTTTGGGCATCGCTGGTCGTGCAGGATGACCAGCTGCCATTATGCCATTGAACATTTACCTGCTACGTGTGTGGTCCCAGTGCAAAAACAAACTAAACCCTTTGCCACGGCCTTGTCAGATTTCGACCGGACTGATAGCCCACAGCAGTGCAAACCCTTCTTTTCACAAGAGACTCGACTGCTGCCCTTACTGCCCAGCTTGACCCACAAGACCCTAAAACCCAAAACCCTGAACCCGTGCTGGTAAACCCTAATAAAACCCCTAAACCCTAAACCCTAAACCTTAAACCCTAAACCCTAAACCCCAAACCCCTAAACCCTAATCAAACAACAATCCTTGCAGCGACCTCGAAGATGGGGTCCGGAAGGAGACCTTGGAGTCTGGGGATTTCATGCGCTTGGATATGGCTTTACCCATAGGCCCCCATAGTAGTTCCTTCTTGGGGTTCATATTTAGAAGCCTATAAGGGGTAATCCCAAAAAGGAACTACTATGGGGCCTATGGGTAATAAGGGGAAAGCTTTTTAGAGGATGCCTTGTCGAGGGCCCAGCCACAGTGCACACATCGCTCGCTGGAATGTCATAAACCTCAATGCTAAAGCCATGGCATCGTATCAGAAACTCCCAGACCACCTGGAAATTAAAAGCATACAGACCCGAAGTCCTGAGACCCTCACTGCCAAACGCTAACGCCCCGAAGCTCGAAACCCCGAAACTGGAGTTGTGCTAGAGTTCCTGGGACGGAGTTCCCTTAAATGTGTTTTCGTGGAGTTCCTGCTGTCCTTGTGTCAGTTCACGACATTGGCGCTCGCATAGCGGTTCAACGGGAAGTTCCCACGAGTTGGTGACCATACGCTTCGTACTGGACTGTTTTAGCACCTCGTACTAGTTTTCATACTCTGAATTAGCATACAAATTACGCATATTCCGAATTCAAGATTCAGGACGTGCAGAACCTGTGGCGCAAAGCCCTCACCTCGCTCTTGTTGAAGTTTTGCAACAGATGGGCGCGTAGATCTTGCCTGCCCTTTTGCAAAGCTGGTGCAGCGCACAATCCCTCATCCGCTTCCGAAAGGTCCTACATCCGAATGCCAACAGCAATTCAGTCGAAGTCCAATACTTGTAGAGGGGTTCTCTTCACATCAGGGGTCCATGTTATAAAAAGGATTCTACAGTCGAGACTGGTACCCCACCCCCCGCCCCACCAAATTTCGAAACTCCCAAATCTACCCATAGGCCCATAGTAGTTCCTTTTCGGGCTTACCTTATAGGATTCTAAATATGAACCCCAAAAAGGAACTACTATGGGGCCTATGGGTATAGACCTTGAGCCCGAGCATTACAGGGCCCAAGCGTAGCAAAGGCTGGATTTCGGCCGCGGCCTCGGCAGCCTGCAGGTTGCTTTGCTGCTAATACCAAGGTACTGCATAGACTATACTGGCTATATGATAAATGCGACATAGTTGAAATTAACATAGATTATAAACTTCTGATAGCATTACTATTTAAACTTCGATTCGTAGACCATGCTTCTGTTTATGATGCTCTGTCGTGTCAGAGGGTTACTACCGCCTCTGTGGGATTTCGCCTGGTTGAACTGATGTCATGGGCCAAGGAAGAGGGGAGGCAGGGTCATGCCCTAATCCTATGGCATGCCGTACACGCTACGACTAGGATCGGCCAAAGCAGGAAGCCTCATGTCAAGAAACTCCTCTCTGCCGCCTAATATTAATATGGGAGTTTCCGAAAATTGGGGTACGTTATTTTGGGGTCCTTATAATAAGGATCCTATTATTTAGGGTACTATTTTAGGGTCCCCTATTTTCGGAAACCCCCATATGCCCTCCGAACACCCGACGTCAAGAGAAGCGACAGCTCTCAGGACAGGCAAAAATCCAGCTCTTGCAGTCTGGGGTTGAGGTGAGCTCACGAGATACTACCAAAAAGCACATGTCCAAGCACGAGCAGAGCAAGAAGGCCCTATAAGCTCATAACTACATCTGAGTTTGCGCCACGCCCACCACGCCTCTCTCTCCTTCTCTTTCTGGACCTCCAACACCTTCTTCCTCAACTCCTGGTTTGCGGGCATGGACGAATTGCAGCGCATCGCTTGAGTCGGCACTGAGATGCGGGCTTCGCTCCCACCTGAAGTCAGCCGAACCGTGCAAGCAAAGTACACGAATACTCTCAGAAAGCAGCGGTGTTCCCACACACCTGTTCCAACAAGCAGTAGATTATTTGAACGAGCGTCTTCTCAATAATGCTCGCACTTCTCCTGTGTCTCTGCCTGACCAACATGATCTCCATGAGTTTCTAGCCTTCTCCCGAAATACTCCAAAGACCACCTGCCGGGGAAGTCCGTAGTAGTCGAACAGAATAGTCGATAAAGTTTGGTCGATGCTGGAAGCAAGCGAATGAAGTCAAGCAAAGCAAAAGCAAAGAAATTGAAATGATCAACTGTCGCCAGGAATGCTCCACACGAGACCCTAGTCCCTGAATCCGCCGAGGCCACAGGCCCTCGGCGTCTTGGGGCTTCCTAAATACCCTCTACATCCCTCTACCTAAGCCTCCTCCCTGCAGCCCAACTGTTTGGTGACATGCATTTTTTGGCCACAGTTTACAAGGCTACCCCAGATTGCACACTCATTGGAACATGTTTTCAGCAAGGAGTAGCAGTACCCTTGAATGCTACACTGCTCAGCAAACGTCTTCCGACGTGTTCTTGTCTTTGCCCTTTCGGCCAGCCTTCTTGCCACATGGTCCTGTGCCAAATGAGATCCTACAGTTGACCCTAAACTCTGCAGTCACCCCTGGAGATCCCTCACGGTAACCCCAGGAAGTAACCGCTCTGGTCCAGGAAAACCGACAGCAAGCTGAACTTCTGTCGGGCCGCTCAGATGGCAGACGAGCTTGTGGTCCTTGAAGCTGAAGGGCACCTTACGTCCTGTGCCCGGGGCTGTGCTCTCAGCAAGGATCCCACCGAGGCATCCTGAGTCCAGCAGCCTGAAACCGTGGTAGCCTTTTTGGGTGTCCTAATCAGGAGCTTCCCAATGTTCTGAGGCAGAAGGGAGCCTCTGGATCTTCGGTCTGTGTGCAGATCGCCAGTGGCGCAGCTTCTTGAACCACCAAGAATTCATCCCTCGATCTCAGCAAATGGCCTCGTTGGAGCGTCCTCACATGCTGCCCAGGCCAGGCGCGGAATTCTGAAAGGCCTCAAGACGTCTTCTCGGCACACTCGGGCATTTTGGGCCCGTATTCATAATGCGATGAACAACTGAAAAGGATTGAAAAGGCACAAATCGCCAAACAACATACCACGGTTCCAGATTACCAAAAATGTTATCGACTCATTGTTCTGATATTTTCTGATGTGTTCCGCAGGCCATGAACACCAAATGAAGGTCGGACTAAAATGTGTCGCCAAAAACAGACAAGCCAATCTGCCTTTCTGGCAAAGCTTTTTGAAGGTCTGGGACTTGCCATCCAGCAGCTTGCCCATGGCAAGAGACCTGGGATGAAGGGCAGCGGGAGGGCCTGATAGCAGCATCTCTGCTCAAAGTTGAGCTGCTAAGCCAAACCCTCCACCAAAAGAGGAGGCTGCCTCGTGAACCGGCAAAAAGGCCTTAACAGCAAGTGAGCACCCTGGACTGTGGGCTCCATTTCTCTTGGCGCCGTCGTACATCTCGCAGTGCAATCAGCGATGGCAGAATCCGGCAGGCACATCTCATCTCTGCAAACATGCAAAGTATACATGCACAGCGCCACGATGTGTCTCAAAAGATCCGGCCCGCCCTCTGGGATCCTGCGCTCGGCCAGTTCAGCCGAGCCCCACGATACCTACCTCTTTGTGCGTCGACATCCACTAGCTACTAGAGAATATAGGATGTAGCCGCAGCCAGAAAGGCCCGACACGGCACATTGGCGTGAAGGCCAACATTATTCTTCATGTGCACGTGTGTATATATATATATGTACATGTGTGTGTGTTTATTCCACTTATGTTTGTCTATATTCATGTGTATGTGTGTATATATACACATATCAAGATTGAGCAGCGTGAGGCAATGTCAAAGCAGTCTGCACGACACAATTGCCCTGCAAGATCCACATGACCGTGCCGTGCCGAGGTAGACATGGGACTCGGCCACCCATATCCCATGAACATACATACATACAGACAGACATACATACACATACACATACACGTACCTGTACATATTAATATATATATATATATAAATATTTATTTACATATACACGTAAATGTACATAAGACATAGACAAGTACATACATACATACATACATACATACATACATACATACATACATACATACATACATACATACACACATACATGTTATGTGTACCTATATAAGACACACCATGAATGGGAGTGTACGTATCTTCCTCGTAGAGCTTCGATTCTACAAGGCCTGATTGGAGCCAACTGTCCTTCGTGTCGGGTCATGTGCGGCCAAGGTTGCTGCCAAGTTCAGGCGGCAAGGTGAAAGCTTCCTAAGATAAGCGCTGTCCGGCGGGCTGTGTGAACCCATAAATACAAGGTCGGACGAATGAAAGTAACGTTCCATACTACTCTAGTCTCTGCTGTCTTACAATAGACTATGCGCTTGAACGCTGTTTTCATTTTACAGAGCCGCTTCCTGCGTTCCTGATCACGACTACATCATGGCAGGTCCCAGCCAAAACACGGGTTCTCTTATTCTGCGCCAAGCGCACGCCCTCCGGAGGTCGGGTTCTGTCGCTGCTGTCACATTCGCGACAAGCATTGAAAAATGCGGCTGCAGATTTACAGCCAATTTGGGTTCACCGACTTGCGACCATGACTACACACCGAAGGTTTCCAGGCCGGATCCAAAACGTAGTCCTTTGAGGATCTGCGTCTCTAGCTGCCGCTGCTTTTGCAAAACGTCCTTGACACTGTAAGCCAAGCTGGTGATGTCTGAGTTGGGCTCGTTCACACGTGCCCAGTTGCTTCCCGTCATCTCAAGCTGAACTCGACCATGTGCAAAGCGCACCTTACATCGGGAGATGCTGGTCTCGAAGATGAAACGGTTGCGAACACATGCAATGAACTCACTCATGTCAGAGAGGTTCACCAAGACCACCTTTGCACCGGGCATGTTGGCCATCATTCCAGATGCGGCTGGCTGCAGCATGTGCAGGAGGCAAACCAGCAGCTCAAGCAGGCATGTCAAGCCAATTGCTGGGTTGCGAACGGCATTTGCCACGCAATCTGGCAAGAACTCGAAGACAAATGCCATGTCCTCAATGCCGTCCGCCAGAAAATGCTGAAGTAACGTCGTCCGCTCGTTTGCTCCAAGCGTGTGCCATGCCTCCTCGCATCAGAGCAGGGCTGTTTGTCCCTGTTGCCCCATGAAACACGCCATTATAACCTTCTGGTGAATGTGTTTGTTGTTGTTTTACCGCCCTCTTCTTGTGTGAATACATATTATGGACGAATACATACAGTATCATACTCACGCAGACATGCATACACACATGCGCGCGTACATACGCGCACATTTAGCACTTTCCACATTGGACATGTCACGCTGTGCCAGTCTGTACTGTATACATGACATAACAACCAAAACAAGCCTTTTGCCGACCGGAACCAATTAAATAACAGAAAGCGTCGCCCTCAGGGCCCATTTTGTCGTATTCGTAAAAGATCGACTTTTTAAGTGTGTTTAACAAGAATGTCGCACCTTAGGCCCCGATCGGTATCCGGTACAACAAAGAACATGACACGNNTGTCGTATTCGTAAAAGATCGACTTTCAAGTGCTTTTTACATCCAGCATAAATATGTATGTATGTATTTAGACACACACGTCCGCTTTTGTGTATAGTCACAGTGTGTTTCTAACCATTTATGAAGCTGTCTACCGCATTGCTCACATAGTCTTGGTTCTACATTTCCCCATATGCGATCGATTTCATTATCAACCTGCATGTGGCCTTATTTATGCTTTCCTCTCTCCCCCTCTCTCCGACCCCTCTCTCCGACCCCGACCCCGACCCCGACCCC